TAATAAAATACTATACACAAAATTAATCAATGACAGCCATATACAACAATATGGATGAACCTTAACAACAAGTCAAAGAAAAACAACCAACATTACATGCTACAGAAATAAATCTACTGAAGTTTAAAAAAGTGGCTTATAAATACTTAGGCATTAAAAGAATAAAGAAAAACAGGAAGGTGATAAATATGAGAATACTGACCACCTAATATACAGGGAGAAAGCTATAATCTGGAAAGATTAGGCAGTAACTCAGAAGTCCCAGCAATTATCTTATCTGACTGTTTAGTCAGGATAGTTGGTTACATGGATGGTCACTCTACCATAAAGTTTTTAACTATAAATTTGTCTTATGGGTTTTTCTGTGTTTATTTCACATAAAAACACTATAAAATTAGCTCACTGGAATTCCAAACAAAACCAAAAGGAAACCAAGACTTACCAAAACTATCCTATTACAGTACATTACACAGGTACCAGAAATGTCCAGAAGTATATTTTAAAATTAAGTCAAATTAAATATAAGGCAATTGTATAAATCCGGATACACATTTGGCTTTTACAAGAAACTCAAAGCCCCTCTGTTCAATCAGACTATGAAGAATAACACTTAAATACATATAATGCTGTGGTAGGTAGAATTTACGATAGCCTCCAAGATCCCCACTTAGTATTCACACCCTCATGTAATTCCCCCTCTTGGTGTGGGCTGGATTTAATGATTTCCTTCTAATGACCAGAAAATAGCACATATGCTAGGATGTAACTTCCAAGGTTAAGTTACAAAAACTATACAACTGCTATCTTCAAAATGTTCTTGCTTCCTTGTTCCCTCTGAGAGAAGCCAGCAATCATGGAGAAAGCTACCTGTGGAGAAGCCCTTACGGCAAGAAATAGGTATTCCTATCTAACAGCAAATGGGTGAGCTTGGAAGGGTTTCTACCCTGGTCAAACCTTTTTTCTTTTTTGTATATTTTTTTATTGGAGTTCAATTTGCCAACATATAGCATAACACCCAGTGCTCATCCCATCAAGTACTCCCTTCAGTGCCCGTCACCCAGTCACCCCAACCCCTCGCCCACATCCCTATCCTGGTCAAACCCTGAGGTCACTGCTACTCTGGCCAACACCTTGATTCTACCAACAACTGGTAGAAATGCTGAGCCAAGGCACTCAGTTACATTGCACCATAATTCCTGTTCCAAGATATTAACTGTTTAATGTTTTAAGTCATCAAATTTGAGCATAACTTGCTACACAGCAATCGATAACTAATGCAAATGCCTATTATGTGCCCTTCTCTTAATATCTGAAAAAGAGTCAGTAGGGGACAACACAAAATAACACAAAATAAAAATTAAATGTAAAATTCTAATAGCCCTAAAGTACTAGCAAGATGGGATAGATACTGGAGTAAATATGTATCTTAAATTTATGCAGATTGAACTTTAGATTGGTATATATCAGTATCTAAAAAACACTTATCAAAACCCCCCCAAAAAGTAAGTGTAAGATCACAAGTTAATTTCTAATGTCTGAATGTTAATCTTAGGAAAATACATTCAAAAGTTATCAGCCTGTATTTTGTTTGAATAAGTTCAAATATAAATTATACAACAGAAGACTTCTAACAACGATATTCATTTGGAGGATTAAGCATGCAAATACTTTGTAATATATCCAAGAAAATATAATCACTCACTGCATTCTGTATTCACTAAATTATGAGATATTAATCAACTAATTCTCTAAAATTTGTGGGGGGGTTGCGAGAAAAAAAAAAAAAACACGTGCCCAAGGGGGAGGGAGGCAATGAGAAGAAGCAGAGGGAGAAAGAGAATCTCAAGCAGGATCCTCACTGGGCATGAAGCCTGACACAGGGCCTTGATCTCACAATCCAGATATCACAACCTGAGCCAAAATCCAGAGTCAAAGGTAACTGACTGAGCCACTAAGGCGCCCCTAGGCTAAAGTTTATTATAATTAGAAAGCACTACTGTACCTGACTCCAATTATGAAGAAATTTATGAAATTCAATCAAAGTAACTGCAACATTTTTAGTCTGTGAACCTAGTAATAAATTTTCAGATTTGTAAAACTTTGTTAACCTAGTTCCTCAGATTCTCTTGTATAATTAAACCTAAAATACTCAAAATCACTCAATCATGGGTACATTAAAAAAAAGAAAACCAAAATGTATTCATGACAATATAATCAGTGCACAAAAAAGGCACCAATATCCAGAAGTACTTAGAACTAGTGTACTTCTTGGTTAAACTGCCCATATTAAAAAATATGGTTCAAGGAGGAAAGGAATCAATCATTCAATCACAAGGATCAAATTAAAATCAAGTTGCACAATTAACCTACACATTTAATGACAAAAATATAGAAACACTGATACTAAGAGCTCTATGATCAAAAGCAGTATCTTAGAAGGTATTATTCCAGGCCATCAGTCACCACATCAGAAAGAGAACAAATTAAACTCGTGAGGAAGAGTTATTTACATGGAAACAATTTTCTGGGCAGCCCAGGTGGCTCAGCGGTTTAGCACCGCTTTCAGCCCGGATTGTGATTCTGGAGACCCGGATCGAGTCCCCTGTCTGGCTCCCTGCATGGAGCCTGCTTCTCCCTTTGCCTATGTCTCTGCCTCTCTCTCTCTCTCGCTTTCTCCCTCGTGCTCTGTGTCTCTCACAAATAAATAAATAAAATCTAAAAAAAAAAAAGTTTGGAAACAACTTTCTATCAATCTCTCCCATTTCTGAACATGCTGTCATAGCTTTTGTTCCAAATGATCTTTTCAAGGATGTTTCTATTGCAAATATTCTCGCAAGACAGAAATAGTTATTTTTTCCAGGACAGAGAGCAGATTTGTTTTCTGATCAATATGATAAAAATAGTATCTCCCTAAAAGGCAAAAACTAGACAGGTTTTCCAGCAAATCCCTTTAAAAGACTAGAATTTCCTAAGCTGAGAGTTCCTTAGTTGTTACATAAATCCACTGTTATGTGCAGCACTCACCTGAGCCCCTCTCTACATCGCCCCCGTGGGACTTGAGGGACAGAGATAAGATGCAAATATGCAGCGGGCATGCCAGATGTGCTGTAATAAAGTCCTCTATCTCCAGCCCAGAAGTCTCATGTAACCAACAGCACAAATATAACTGTGACAGGCTTATTTGTCAGCTTGCTAACAGGGTATTAACCTCAGAATCTTCAGGGTTTTTTTAGTTATATACTATATCCTTATTACCTGAGACCTTTTCAAATCGTACAATTTTGTTGCATTTTTTAAAAGATTTTATTTATTTATTCGAGAGAGAGAGGAGAGAGAGAGAGAGAAGCAGAGACCTAGGCAGAGGGAGAAGCAGGTTCCCTAAAAGAGTCTGATGTGGGACTCGATCCCAGGATCACGACCTGAACCAAAAGGCACTCAACCACTGAGCCACCCAGGCACTCTTGTTGCAAGTATTAATAGATCTCCAGAAAAGCAGTGAAAAACCTTAGGGGCTAATAAAAACCTTAAATAATTCAGGACAGAGATAATGACCAGCCATTTAATTTAACCCTCAGACATCCTCATATTTCAACTGTACACTTAACGGAGTCATTTACTCATTCATTATGAGATTTTTTTTAAAGATTTTATTTATTTATTCATGAGAGACACAGAGAGAGAGGCAGAGACATATATAAAGGAAGAAGCAGGCTCCTTGCAAGGTGCCGGATGCAGGACTCGATCCCTGAACTGGGATCACACCCTGAACCAAAGTCAGATGCTCAACTGCTGAGCCATCCAGGCATCCCCAAAACATACACCCTTAATCAGAACTAAGATTCTAACAAGATCTTCAGGTGATACTTATGCATACCAAAATTTAAGAAGTACCCAACCAAAAAGAAAAAAAACTTGAAAGGAATAAATTTTACACTTGATCTTAGCCAAAAGGCTAAGAAGCAATATTGAGGAATAAATTTTAAATTTATACTGAAGCTATGCTTTTAATAGACATATTAAAATCACAATGATTAGTTCAGCAAAACTTAAGGATAAGAGAAAAAGTCATAAAGCATATAAAGAAAAGCTATTAATATCACAGTACAGAAAAATCCAATTTGAATAAGAAAAAGTTAAAACTAGACATCATAAATAATCAAAAAGGAGGGAAATACCAAACTAATATAATGTAAAGGTTCTGACAATGTACACTAACAGTACTTCATCAAAATAAAAACACATCTCTCATCTTTTTATTTTCAAAAATAATAGCCTAGAATTTAGCACATTATAGATGTTACATATTTTTTAATGATTAAAAAACATCATAATCAGACAACTTAAAATAAGAATATAAGAGATTTGTGACAGTTAGGAATTTAAATATAAAACTACTTTCAAAGTTATATTAGCATTCTCCCCATAACAAAGGAATTTTATCTTTGATTTTTCCCATATTCTGTGTAAGTGTGAAAGGACTGAGGAATTTTATGAACATTAAATTAGAACATTCTGAGTATAAGGTTATTAATTTAAAAAATTATCTTTTAGCTAGCTATCCTTCATGGCTTACAGTTCCCAGGTTGTAAATAGGTAACTACTTTCAACTTGTATTTTCCCCCAGCATGCATTTTTGCCATACCTAAGACTCTACCTAGGACTTTATTATCTAAAGTTTCCTAAATTCTCTTTGCAGGGTGAAGGGTAGGCTGTCATTTGATAATTCTATTTTCTGTTCTTTATCCCTTTGAGGTAAGTCATTGTATTCAATCCTACAGAAAACTTTTCAGTACTTCTCCAAAAAGGGGTTTTAAAAATATCAAGTTCTAAGGTGAAAGAAGTTATAATAACAAAGAGTTAAAAACCACCTACAACTAAAATGCTTTTTAAATGTTTAAATAAACGTTCGAGCATGAAATGCCTTTACAAAAATGGGGGAAAATGGAAATAGTCAGCAATAGTAAATGAAACATTAGGTAAAACATACAAAATAATAATACCTCTCTCTTATTTCTTCTTGCAACCTTGAGGAATTCCATAAGGATCTGTAGTTGGGCTGCATGTGATTCCTATAATAGAAAATTATAATTGTTCTTTTAAAAATATAACTATGAGTTCCATATTATCTTTAACACCACAGTATAACCAGTATGAAGCAACTTCATGCATCCATTTAAGTTGGCCTATTACTTCTATTTAATCCATTTCGCTGTTTACAAAATGGCATTTTTTAAAGCAAGCCATTTTCCCCAAAACTAAAACTAATTTTAAAAAACAGGTGTTTTAAATTACATTCTTCACCTACCATGCTGGGAAAACTACTTATGGGAAATGGCAATTCTATTATCTGTCCTACCTTTCTCTTCCAACCAAACTAACAGAATATCAAAACAAAAATCACAGTGGAATCATGGTAGTTCCTAGACACTAAAATCACGTTCTCTGTAAGAATTTCATTTGCAGGGTTATGAATAAGAAACATACTAAATGAGAGTGAATCCATACCTTTCAGAAATTAAACGTACTATTTGTGGATATTACCTACTCATACAGATGTGAGAATATATTTCCATAGAAAACTTCAGTCAAAAATCAAACATTTAAAAACAAAACTTTTAACATAATCAAGTAGTAGAAGTAAATAACCCAAATCAGTAAGTGAAACAAACATGTAACAGAAAAAAGATAACTTTAAGATTGACATTTTCTGGATATAAATATTTATCCTTTACTGTTAAAATTCACAGAAAGAACCAAGGAATTCCAGATGAAACTGATGAATGAACATATGTAAAAAGAATTATCAAAAGCTAAAAATGGAATGAGATGGCTTATAATCAAAGGTAATTCTAATTCCTTTATATTTGAAAAGAAGAATAATGCCCAGTAAATCACTTCCAAATGAAACAAAAATAAATAATAATGATTAATAAAAGTTTAATTTACCTTGCTATATATGCAAGAGAATTATCTGGGGCATTTGTTGAAATAAACACAGGATAAGAATCTTTGTTTAACAAGTTTCCAGATGATAAGAATAAGCCAGTCAAAATTTGAAAAATCACTAAGATATTACACATACCAAAAAGGCAAGGCCACCCTACTGCCAGAGTCTAACCCCTTTGAGGAGAATGAATCTTTATTTCTTAAAGGGTAAGAGGCAAAATAGGTCAATGAATTTTAAGTCAAGACACTAAGAACAAGGGAGAACAAATATGAAGTGACAATCACATTAGGATTTTTTTTTAAGATTTTATTTACTTATTCATGAGAGACACAGAGAGAGAGAGAGAGAGAGAGAGAGAGAGAGAGAGAGAGAAAGAGAGAGAAAGGCAGAGACACAGGCAGAGGGAGAAGCAGGCTCCATGCAGCAAGCCCAATGAGGGACTCTATCCTGGGACTCCAGGATCATGCCCTGAGCCGAAGGCGGACGCTCAACCTGTGAGCCACCCAGGAGTCCTTATCATGAAAATTTTAAAGTGATCTGTTTTCCTCAAAATAAACTGGTATTTATTGGACCTTAGATACATTTCTGAAAAGTAAGGTAAACCATCACACAGAACAAACTCACAGAGGCTCTGTGTCCCAACAATGATGACAAATATCCTCTGCATCTTTCTTATAACTTCTGTTTTTTTTTAATATTTATTTATTCATGACAGACAGAGAGAGAGAAAGAGAGAGAGAGGCAGAGACACAGGCAGAGAAGCAGGCTCCATGCAGGGAAGCCGACATGGGACTCGATCCTGGGTCTCCAAGATCACACCCCGGGCCCAAGATGGCACTAAACCACTGGGCCACTGGCGCTGCCCTCTTATGACTTCTTTACACTGATTATCTAGAACTGTCTACAGATTATTTGGATGGAGAGCAAAGACAACATCGTTATACATACGATGTATAGAAAAGAAACATACGTAGCCAACACTATTAATTCATTTGCAAAGGATGTGCACAAACTACTTTCAAAATACTAAGTTTGAATACTTCATTTCACTCCATCAACAACACAGGTAAATAAGGTAAGAATGCAACCGATTTGTAGAAAGAAGGAGAAAAAAAAACCCAAAGCCTCAAGCTCAAAGGAAAATGGAACCAATTAAGTACTCTAGGAGTTCAATTCAGCAAATGGCATCCCTTCTGTAATTTAATTCCTTTAAAAGAATAATTTCAAGAATGGGAGTAAATGGCAAGTTTCTGAAACCATAATTTCATATGTAAATATAAAAGAATACATGAAAGAAATAGATGATTTAAAAATACATTTTTAATGGGAATAAAGCCAATTTTATCAAAATAAAGTAGCCATATATGTTTTGTTAGAACTGTCTCAGAAACTGAAAAGTAATCCTTTAAAGTCATTTAACCCACTATAAAAAGTAAAAGTATTAAGGAGTTAACTCTCTAAGCATTTCTTACAATTGCAAAAGCTTCCATAAATGATATGATCATTTAGCCTAATTATCTCATTTTCAAATGACGAAACTGGAATAAAAAAAGTGAAAAGAAACACAGAATCAAAATATATATATTTAAAATCTCATTCTCTACTCTTAGTGCTCTTTGCAATATAGCAAGTTTTATCACATTTGTCCCATCTGGTTTACAGTCAATTGTCTCAAAAGACAGCATATGTCTGCCATCTGAAAAGGAATATGCTTCATTTTTTTTCTTAAGCACTGGTTTTTTATATTTTTCTAATCTTTTCTGCAATTAATTTTTCTAGCCAAAAATCACATCTCCACTATCAAAACAGAAGCAATGTTGTAGTGACAGCCCAATATACTTAAACATGTAAATTCTACAATTAACTCTTCATGTCCCAATTCCATACCCTTCTGATACCAGCTTCTGGATAACCTTTCAACTGCGTAAAAAATACACTTGCCAGACCTATGAAAAGATGTAGTCTAACTTGCCTTTTTATTATTTCATTATAAATGAATAATATGGGCCTTATGAGCTTAGATACCATTAGTGCATCTTCCCAAGAACAGTTAACTCTAAGTAATTTCTCAACAGGAGGGCAACTGGAATTTTGAGGAAGAAATGCTTCCTTGAATAAATTTTTCCAACTAGAACAATACAGGTATGGTATTTAGGAATAAGAAGTAAAAACAAAAGTTGAAAAGACTGCTTCTAGGAGTTAATATTAAGGATAAGGAGTAATAATGTAGCTGAGGACTGCTGAATTTTTGCTATAAATGTTGTAAGATTGTCTGAATTTGTAGTTACTTTACTTAGATTTTGTTTTTCAAAAGAAGGAAAAGGAAAAGGGTGCAGGGGGAAAAGAACAGAAGACAAGGAAAAACTTTCCAGGTGTGTCAGGAAGTCAAAAGTTCCGGAATTCTAACCTAAAAACCCTGTAAAATCTTATGAATGTCTCCCCTACCAGGCTTCAGATTTTTTTTCTCTATAAAATAAGCAGGTAAAATGCCACAAATGAGAGTCACATTGCCGTACTACACAAATGTTACAATTATTTGATAATTTTTCTCTATCAATATATTGTTTCCTTAAAGTTGTCCAAAAAATTCTAAAGGATATGCACATCTGGTATAATGATTAGCTATAACAGCCTTCAACAGCTGAGGATACCTGTAGATATCTGATATGTGGACAAATGGTTTTAAGGGAATTAATTCCCAAATTCTCAACCTCCAATATTCATCTTGTAAAACTGATCTGTTCATCAGACATCATTCCATTTCTTTTTTTTTTTTTTCATCATTCCATTTCTAAATTCCAACCTCTTCTTTGAAAATTTCTTTCTATTCTTTAATGGAGTTTAAAAATAGGTGGTAGGTGAAGGAAAGATATATCTTTTACCCACCCTGAAATTTACCTTGATACAATCTCTGGGGTATGAAAGTCTCTGGTACAGCAAAATAAAGAAATATAAGATATTGCTATTTTTAAAAAAGCTAATTACTTTAAGACTAGATAACAAATCTTTTTATAAAATAACAAATCTTGGGGCACCGGGTGGCTCAGTGATTAAGAATGTCTGCCTTTGGCTCAGGTCATGATCCAGGGGCCATGGGATTGAGTCCTGAATAAATCCTGCTTCTCTCTATACCTATCTCTCCCTGTGTCTCTCATGAATAAATAAATAAAATCTTTAAAAAAATAAAAATCTTGTGGCAACTGAGTGACTCAGTCAGTTAAGTATCCAATTTGTGATTTTAGCTCAGGTCATGATCTTGTGGTTGTGAGATGAGGCCTTCACTGGGCTCTGAACTCAGTGGGAAGTCTGCTTGAGATTCTCTCCCTCTGCCCCTCCACCAACTCACATGATCACTCTCTTTCTCCAATAAATAAATAAATAAATACTATTTTAAAAACGACAAATCTTTTAAACAGTAATTACTCTAAATAAAGACTAAATAACAAATCTTTTTACAAGTAGTTTCCAGTTCTTTGTGTTGAACAAAATAAAGATTATGAACCAAAAACTGACACATAGAAGATAAATATTTAAATCCATAATCATATTAGTAAATTAATATACCTCTCTGCACTGGAAAGGTTTTTAATTTGAAAATTTTTTAATAAAAATTGTTAAACAGAAGATACAAACACCCAATTAATTAAGTGTAAATAACATAAATGAATCCCTGAAACAATTTCAGAAACATGTGCTTCAAAATATAAGAGAAATATTTATAAAAAGTGACAATATAAATAGTACACAGAATAAGCACCTAAAATTTCAAAGAACTAATAGCATACAGACACATTCGCAATACAAAATATTTAAGATAATAAAAATAGTGACCAATACTTTTCAGATTAAAATGTAAAAGGTTACTCCCAGAGTAACAATAAAAAAGGGATAAACTAAAAAGTAAAATACTATAGTTGGCCCTTAAATAGTATAGGAATTGGGGACATCTACCCCCAGCACAATCCAAAATATATGTATAACCCTCCAAAAACTAATAGCCTACTGTTGACCAAAAGCCTTACTTATAACGAAGTCCATTAATGCAGTTTGTATATGTATTGTACACTGTATTCTTACAATAAAGTAAGCTAGAGATAGTAAAAAGTTATTTTAAAAAATCAC